TTTAAAATCTGGCCATCGACTACATTTTTAGAGCTGTAAAGACGAGCTCTGAATGTCAAGCAGAAAGAGACCGACATGAGAGAATAGATTTTAAACACTTCACAGCGTATGTCTACAAAAAGAAAAAAGAAAATCACACAGCGCCTTTTGCCAACACTGTCGTGTATATTCATATGACACAAGCTGATACTGCCGTGTGGTCAATCCTACTTTCGTGAACATAATAATGCTCAGTCTCTGCTGAGTCACTGTAAAAGGAGTGTATGTTCAGCTTTGCTGTAGTGTGGGGGTTGCTGAGAGGCATGTTGATAAGTGGTGTCTGTGCATATTATTATTAATCACACAGAAAACAAAATACAGCAAAAAACAAAACTAGACGTCGGCTAAAGAGAAGTGGAAGCTTCCAGGCTGCTCAAAAGGACGCACATGCAGGGGGAACGTGTGCATGTCTGAAGGCCCATTAATGCTGAGAGACATAAACAGGTATGCTGCCATCAAGGTGCCGTTTTTCCCAGCAAGGCCTCGCTTGTGTCAGCGAAGCCACATATGCATGCACTATAACAGCATCGCTAACAAAAGAGCCTAAACTGGCTCATTTGACCCATTATGAAACCAAATAAGGACAAAAGAGGCTCTGAATTGCTGAGTAGCTGAACGCCTAACAAATTTGACGTTCAGTGTTGCATCATCAAAATGAGCATATATTTGTTTAAAAACAAACAAAAAACAACCGCTGTGCCTCACAGCAAGAAAGTCCTGGGTTCAAATCCGCCGATCACGTGGGTGCTCCCTGTGCTCGTGTGGGTTGTTTCCACGAGCGCTCTGGGTTTCCTCCCACAATCCAACAAAATTCATGATAGGTTAAGTGGTGATTCAACATTTTACTGCAGGTGTTAATGTGAGTGTGAATGCTTGTTGCCTCTGATGGACAGGCAACCGGCCCATCGTGGGTCTCTCACCCTACGACAGCTGGAGAGGCTCCAGTGTTTTACTGTCCACTGTTTTTGAAATAAATCAAAGTAAATAATTATTGAATTAAAAAAAAAAAGGTAAATAAATGTGTTTCTATTTGGGAAATGCCTTCAGTAACATGGAAAATTACACAGTGAGATTCATCTTTTATCAGGTTAGACGGTCAAAGTTTCCACCAATTTAAACGAGATGGACTTTATCTGTTCAACCACTTGCTCAATCTTAAGACCGCAGCTCAGACAAGTCATGAGTGACATGAAGCCAGATTCACAGTATCAGTACAAAAAAACAGAGTATTTGTCAAGTTAGTGCAAGAATATTTCCCTCCAACACTAAACTCACTGTCTGTAGCCCTCTGTCATCTGTCTCCAACCTCCATCATCCTCCCCCACCCACGCCTCTCTACCTGCCCTTACCAGAGAGGAGGTACACTCCTGGTCAATCTCCGGTTCAGCCCAGGGTCTAGTGTTGCAGGGGGGGCATCCATTATTCAGCTGGGCTGAACAATAGCAGCCAGACTAGCTCCACAGCTGCCGTGCAGCAGACAGATAAGACAGCGCACCAAATTATTCATGATGGAGGAATGGAAGGATGGAAACCGATGAAATCATAGAGCACCAGTGTCACATCTGACCAATGAAAGGGTAATATTTACAAATGAATGTTGACTGTTCAGAAGTGGAGTCAGTACGTTCTTAAAATCAAATCTGGAAGTGTATTACAACAACTGTCAGAATTAGAGACGGACACCGTTCCCAAAACCCCTCTGTGAACCCTTTGGAATTACCAGGATTTCTGCAGTGATTACTCATAAAAGGCGGCCTGAGCTTCATATAATTCACAATGTGACAAACACACTTTGTGAGTAATCAGTGCTGAAATCCTGGTAATTCCAAAGCATTCACTAACCTTTTTACCCTTTTATCTTTCTTTTTTTGCAACAGTAAAATCACTTCAGACCCCAGATGAGAAATCTTGCTTCTGTTTTACAAGTTGAATTTCATTCCCTTTATTTCCCTGAAAATTACACAACAGTTTCTGTTGGGCAGGTTTCAGAGGCCTCTTGGTGGCAGATCCCCTACAGTACCTAAAGCTGTGCAACACTTCTTTTAAAGTTCAAGACGACACACACAGTGAGCCGTGATATTAAAGCAAACTGACCAGGAACCATTGAGGGAGTAATAAATCAGAATCAGCCGTCAGCGTCAGGTGAAAGGTTTCCCAGCCCGGGGCAATATAAAGGATACGCAGGAACTGTGTGCCTTCTGTCCTCCATCACGGATCTGGACAGAGGTAATCAGGTGCAGATAAGGCCATGAGGCGTCTCTGTGTACTTAGACGGGAGCAGCACGGAACTGTCCGTGAACTGCCAGCAACACAGACACACATACACACGAACACACACAGACCATATGGTAGGTGCCAAACTATGCCAAAGCACACAGCAGTCTGTCAAATGCACCATGATGACTTCTTATTCTTTTCTTTCAATTTCAAACAGTGTTAAAAATGCAGATTGCTGTTGCATCTCTGATTTAAGCACCTCTTCATGCACCAGACTGGAAATAACATAATGTTAAATCCAATATGTGTCTATATGGGTCATCTTCACCCAGTCATACGTTATAATGCTCATTTATTGCTTAGAAATCTGGTTCCTGCTTGTTTTACAAAAAAAAATAAAAGAATAAATCTTATCATACACCAGCACAGTAAACTTTAAATACACACTTTTCTCATTGTCAAGGCACGCAAACATTTGCACACACGGGTAAAGACGGCCGACGTGGTCTATTTCCCGAGAAACTATGGTTCTTCATTTCCTTGCAATGTTTTTTTCTCTCCAATGTTCAACCGGGCTTGCTGAGGAGCAGCTCGACAGCTGACATTAAACTTAAACACACACACACACACACACACACACAGAAAACTTACAGATGCAGAAGCACCACAGCTATGAGGGTCCACTCTGGAGTTTTATGGATGATGTTTTTGTTGGTGAACCTGTGAACATAAAGCACCACTGTTAAGTACTGTGTGTGCGTGCGTGCGTGCGTGCACGTTTTATGGAGGATGCACAGCAGTTCCAGTATCTCGCCCATCGACATTTCAGAATTCCGACTGGAGCAGCTGGACATCAAATCATAACCCGCTATATGTTCTGGGCCACAGTCACCATACATCTGTGTCCCTCTGCAGATAGTCTGCAGAAATGCTTCATTCTAGATATGAATAAAGTAGAAATATAAATTGTGCACAGACCAAGAGCAACAACCAAAAACACTGCATGCAGCAATGATTTATGTCTTTCTGCCAGCGCTGTGTATATTCTTTGGTTTGAGCCTCTTGTTATTGGGGCCTCTTGACAGCACAAAGACAATTCCCGGAAGCAGGGCCGTGGCGGTGTTGCTCCATAGCCTGATGTGCGTTTAAATCACAGACACAGTGATTTAACAGCAGGGCTGTTGAAAACATCCTAAGCAGCCAATGGCAATCCAGGGTGTGTCTAAGGCAGGAAATGCTCAATTCTGGCACAAGTTTAAAAAAAAAATCCCCCCCCCCCCATTTTTTTCTTAAAACAGAGCTCTGTCATTCTTATAGAGAAACAGAAGCCATACTGCTATGCTGACTGAGTAAAAACAGCAAGCGTATATAATAATTAATTCTACCCAGTCCTGGTGTCATGCATGCTGGCATGTGTGGCACACTGTGAGATATATGACATTTCGTAATACTTATTTTGATGTGCAGGAGATTAAAACACTTTCTCAGAAAATAGACATAATTCTCTTTGAAGCAGACATTTAGCCCCATCACATGAAAAAAGTACAAGTTTTAAAGAGTCAATAAAACTACTGTTCGTCATACTTCATGTGTGCCTGTAGGGGGAAGCAGAGCTAAACAACTGTGTGTTGTGGAATTTAGATGAAATCAACTCATTAAATACACGTTAGACTCATTTCTTTGAGTTCTTCTGAAGAATAAGAGCGATTCCAAGAACATTCATGGCATGTTTTGCTCATGCAAGGAGATAAAAGAGGAGATCGAAATCACAACAGATAACTAATCAGTTAGTTTCCTGTTCTATGTAGCTTGATTTTCAGTGTTTCTCAGTAGATCCAATGTAGTGTGATAACAGTTAATTATGAATAGAGTCCAAATACAGAGTCGTTTTTACTGCTGTGTAGCATCTTTTTGGAAGAGGCATGTGTCTCATTCTTGTCTGACATGATACCCTAGCTGCTCAGTCTTGATCCTAATATTTTTCACATAATCGTGAAATGTCTCAGTTTAGACATCTGATATGTTTTCTATTCTTTATAAAAATCAGTGTTTGTGAGATTTGGAAATGGTTGCAATCTGTTTTTATTGACATTTTACGCAGCATCCCAACATTTTTTGCAGCTGGGGTTGTATGGCATGGCTATAATAAATGTTCATAGTTGTGCAAAAGTGAAAGATTTAGGTTTATGACAAAGAGGGTAACGGGACACGTCTATATCCTGCAGCTGTTCAAAAGTAAACTGCCATTCAGTTACATACAAACAATCAAGTTTCACTATTATGTTTCTGAGCTTAATATGAACCCACAGAACAAGGCACAGTTTCAATGCTAGGTTTCCTTTCCTTAACATGAATTAAACTTAACAGCAATTTTTGACACATTTCTAGAGCTCATCCACTATCAACTCACACCTGCCTCGCCTCCCCTCTCCTGTGTGTGTGTGTGTGTGTGTCCCCTTTCTGGTGGCAGACTAGCAGACAGCACATATCAGACTGAGTGTGTATTGTACTGACCTGAACGTCCGCACCAGGTTGTTCAGGTCGGTAGTGATGTCAATCATGGTGAGATGCAGTGGACCTACAATGTTTCTGAGGCTGCACAGCACAACCACAAGACAAGAGAGCAAAGAATTAAGATGAACTGATCATGAAAATCATGATTATGTGCAGCCATGTCAAACTGTGCAGCAGTGAGGTTCACGGGACCTTCACAGCTGTTGAAGAAAAACCAGGAAAAGAAATTAATAAGGCTCCGTGTGCCACATCCAAGAAATAAAGGACAAACACGCACCAGCTGGAGAGTTTCTCCACTGTGATTCGTTTCTGGATGAGGTTCTGAGCATGAGAGTCAACGAGCGGCAGGACCGGATCCTTGATGCTTTCCTGGACTGTCACCTGGTGTGGGGACGGTTTAAGAACAAAACTCACTCTGTGAGCTCAAAATCAAACTCTTAAAGCAAGTCTTTTAATATGCACTTACCTGCTTTCTATTGGGCTCCTCTTTCTCGTCAGGCAGAATCCACGTGCCCTTATAAAATTCTCTGACCCGGAGCTCCAGATCCTGGGTCTCCCTCCGCAGCGTGTCATAGTTTGGAGCTGCAGCTGACGGCCTCTTCTTGTCCTCGCTGTTATCGGCTGTCACCTCATCCTCAAGGTCATCTTCATCCAACTCCTCTTTGCCTTCTTCTTCTCTTACCTCGGCATAGGGAGAACCAAGGGAGTGATCGGAGCCGTACAGGAACGTTAACGTCTCATCGGTACACCACTCCTTCAATGTGTTTTTTAGGCAATCGAGCAGATTCATCCGTACAGAGTCAGGTTTGACTTCGGCGTGGTTCTTCAGTAGACCTCGCAGCCCAGCTGCCCCCCTCTTGCTCATACCCACCTGCGTGATGTTGAGCTCTTGCTGGCCGTGGCTGTTCTGATTAGTGGCAGGAATTTGTTTACTTTCTGTTGGAGGGTTTGAGCGAGGAACGCTGTGAGTTACCGTCTCCGATAAACTGCACACACTCATCTCAGCTGTAGTCTCTTCCACACCAGAAAGCTCAGACAACTCTCTCTCTTGTGATGCCGCCTGGTCCGTATGTGTCACCTGCCGCTCTTTGGGTTTTTCAGCATCGGTAACTTCAGTTTTACGCACGTCTGCCCCTTTTCTTCCCTCATCTTCTATCATACTTCTCTGTTCCTCTGTATTCTGACTCTGAGGAGGTTCGATCTTTTCTTCATTCCCCTCTTTGGTGTTTATCTTTCTTGTTTCAGAATTCCTTTGTTGTCCTTTCTCATTCTCATCTGAGCATTTAGGCAGGTCACCCCAGTGGACCCGGGGTCTCTGCTGCTGAGAGACCACGCTGGAGACAAAGTCCTGCTCATGTTCGTCGTCACTGACATCACTGTGGCTGCCTCCAGCAGGATGATCCCGAGAGCCGTGAAGCTCCTTGTGCTGAGCAGCCACAGGGTTCTCGACGTCCTCCTCTTTTAGACACCTCTCAGACAGCATCACCTCCTCACCAGAGCTCCCACTGAATGCACACATGTAACCCTGGATCAGTCTTTCTATTTATGAGGCTAAATATGGAAAACTAAACACGAAACTTATTACGTACCGTTCTCCTTGCTTCAACAACTTAATTTCAGGAGGACTGAGAGAGAGAAAGGGAGCAAAGACATTATACAGAACATCACTGCATTCAACGATTAGATCAATCAGGTGATTTAGGACAGAGATGAGAAGCAGCACACACACACCTCTCATGTTGCCCAACCCAAAGAGGCGTCTTTGGTATTTGTAGCTCAAACGCTTTGGAGGCTTTGTAGCAGAAATTACTGCAAAAACACTAAAGACAAAAGAAGCAAAGACCAAAATGTGTCTTTAAGCGCATTCTGGCAAGTGTAAAAAACCAAAAAAACCGAAAACAATTTCATGTAGAAACACTCACCTTGCGCTCTGTGATGTCATACACTTTATTGGTCTTAGTAGAAATTTTGTATTGTTGAGATGGGATCTAGAAAGTGAACAGCACCACAGACTCAGTCATCACATATGAGACATGGAGATGTTTATTATTTGCAATCAAAATGCAATATCAGTGGCCTTACCTTGCCCAGTTTATTAGGACAGATGGGATAACCGCACAGCTTAGCAATAGACCTCTCCTCTACAGTATCTCTGTAATTAGCTGGGGTGATCATTGTGGCCTGTGAAGTAAAGAGAACTCGGTTACTTTGCAGCTTTTCTCTGGTTTAAATTTGTGTAAAATTAATATTGCTTGACATTTTAAATTATCTGAATATTGACAGAAAACCTGCATGTAATCTAAAGTCTGTCATCAGAAATGGAAAAAAAAAGTGTGTGTTTACACAGCGTATCTCAGCTGCCATAGGGTGAGAGGCAGAGTCCACCCTAGACTGGTTGCCAGTCCATCACAAAGCTAACACACAGATACAGGCAACCATTCACAGCTCCGACCAGCTAACCAATTATGGATGCATTTGGTCTGTGACAGGAAGCCTGAGTATCTGGAGGGAATCCACACAGACACAGGGGGAACAAACTCCACACAGAAAGGCACTACAGGATGAGATTATGGGTTAGCGAGTTATGTCGAACTTGAAGTCAGAATTTTCTGTGCCACAAAAGTGTCTCTCTTTTCACCTGGCTACATCACCACGGTAACTAATGCCGGATACATTACGTTGTTTATTTTATCCTTCTAAGCACTAGATGCCATGATTGACATTTTTCCACAGCATTAATATCTTGCGTTGTCTGTAACAGTTTTGCATTTTATTGTAATATTTTTGCTGTTCGTTAGAGACTTTTGACAGCATTTTATCCTTATCACCTTATAGAGTCTGATTAGACAGCATTCACAGGGATCATTCTGTGTGGAAGAAGAGTAGAATATGACATCCTGTAACAACAAGCCTAGTTAAAGAAAGGTGATAACCATCATAATGATGTCCATTATCTCCGACTGGGGTTTTAAGCTTTGTCAACAGCTAACGCAAACAAAGCCTGGCTGTAGTGAACTTAGCATACTCCTCAGGTCCTTGTTGCTGTGAGGCAATGGTACTGCTACCAGTGAGGCGGTGTATTCAAATTCCTAACAGGTCTAAATAGCATGCTAGAGCCAGGCTGCGTTATACTGGGCCAATAGCAAAACCTCAATCATAGGGATCTCATGGCGATTATAAACCCTGGAAACTGCAGATTGGGCCATGTTCTGAGACTGTGAGATTCTAATTAATCGTGGCAGACATGGTGTGTGAATAAAAGAGACGGGTTTAGTATGACAGAGGCTTGGCAGTGATGTAAGGGTAACAGGACCTGTGCGTGAGAGCAGTGAGGAAAGACTTTGTCTCCTGGTTTGCCTAAAGCTTGTGCCCTGTCTAAAGTCACCGGTGACACATACACAGTCCACTAGGAAGTCCTCAGCCACACTGTCGTCCAGGAGCCGCTCCACCACCTTCAAAGCTCTCTTCTCCAGCTCCAACTTCTCCCTCAGCTTCTCCTTCAGCTCCTCTCTCCTGACACAAAGCACACACGTGAAGAAGTGTCTGTGTTTACTCCACAACCAACAAATGTTTGGTAATGATTACTGGTGCAGCTGAAGCGTCCAGTAGAGATGTCCTGGTGGAGTAGGGGTTTCTCACCTTCTCGCTTCTTCCTCCGCTTTGACACGTTTCCCACCTGCCTCACAAACAACAACAAAAAAATTGAATATACGAGTTAAATGAATCTCTGAAGGAAGAGATGTCGTTACTCTACCAACCAACCAACGGCTACACAAGCCAGCTGTGAGCGCTCTGAGATCCGTGTAACCCTCCACAACGCTGTAAACACCTCTCTAAAACCCGAGAAACAAAAAACAGGCTTTTAACGAACCCTTTTTGGAGCTCCCGCTCCTTCTTCTCTCATCCATCTCCATGCTGTTTCTGTTTTCTACACTTTCAACTTTGACCTGTGACGTATCTCCATCTACGGCAAGCCAGGGGGACAATTTCACGTTCGCGCGGTGCGTCCGTAGCGTGTAGTGTGTGTGTGTGTGTGTGTGCTTTTTTTTTTTTCACCGGGCTGTTTGTGGAAGTTGAGCTGAGGTACGTGTCCCCTTCACCTCGGTCCCGTTTGCGTCCACACCAACGGCTCTTTTCGTGGCGGTGAATTTGTTTGGCTAGCCACTGTTCGGCTAATTCGGAGCGGGGTTAGCATCCCTGCTGCTCTGCTGTGTTTACAGTCACACAGGCACAGAACTTAACCTCTGACACCTTTGGACCTGTTTTTTTTTATATACTTGAAGTTTCCCCTGTTTTTGAGGACTTCTGCATGAGGACAACACCCGTATGAAGACAGCAGGGATGGCTCTGGAGCAGCTCAGTGAGGTGGTCCAAAGATGTGTAAGTATTCAGTGGTACTTGTAACCCACATCCACTCCTTCATTCTGATATCAATTCCCTAAACAGCATGTCGGCACAGTCACTGGCACCAACCTGGATGCTGGTACCCACAGACAGTGTTGCCAACTCCTCAGTAAGGAAAATCGCTATTGGTTGTCCTAAAAGTCGCTAGAAGTCGCTAAATGACGTCATCGCCTAATTTGCATAATTGGTCATGCTAATCTAATTGTTGGAGAGAGAAATAACATCGTGGAAGAGACATAAAGTGAGGAAAAAACGTCCTAAATGCATTTAGAGTTTATTTAGAACTACAAATTAGATTTCTTTTAGCAATTATTGTTTTTTTTAATGTCACAATTCCAACCCTGCTTCTTTACCCGGGCTTGGACCGGCAAGTGACCCGAAATAGGCACTCTGGCGGAGTTACTTTGTGTGTGTGTGTTTATAAGTAGTTTTAAACCTTGTGATCCACAAAACGGCATAAGAGTAAAAGAAGAACTGACTGCGTTACAGCACCCGCTGCTTGTTGAGAGTAAAAGAGATATGCGCTTTCACGTCTTTTTTTAGCGACTTTTTTTTTTTTTTTTTTAGAAAAAAAGTCTCTAAGGGGTCTGAAAACTCGCTAAATATAGCGACAAAGTCGCTAAGTTGGCAACACTGCCCACAAACTGAGCTGACCTGGGTTTTGAGTCTCTCACTAGAGCATATTCTAGATCAGAGGTATTTAATTAAAATATAAGGAGGTCCAATTTGAGAACATTTCCAAGTCCAAAATATAATCTAGTTCCACATGATTATAAGTGCAGTCTATTTTAAAGTAGCCTAACAGTTATACAGTGTCAGTATATGGGCAATAACTGGTTGTAATGTAAAGCAAAGAAAGTGTAATTCGGTATTTCAACAATATTTATTATTCATTACTCTAATGAAAAGAAAATGTTCTTTTTTGGTTTCAAGTAAAATTATAGCTTTTGAAAAAGTTGTCTTCAAATAAAGTGCTTAATTTAAAATAATGAAAAGTTGTATTTTGAATTTCCCCTCTTTGTCTTTTCTCTAAATTACATTTCACATGTAAACCATCTCACTTTAAACCCTCCTTTTCTCCCTGTCTGTTTCCCTGACTTAATTCCTTTGGCTTCTGCCTCTCGTCTCTTCTCCGAGTTGTCTACTTTTACACGTGCTCTGAGTAAAGGATTTGATTGCCTGAGTAGAGTTGCGTTGAGTGAGTTAAGCACGCCATTGGTCTATGTACTTCCATTCAATGGCTTTGCTGTCTATGTACACTGCTGCCATACAGCAGCAGTGTATAAATGCTCAGTTAGTGAAGACGGGAATAGAGGAGAAATCTTCAGTGGATCATGGGAAGTCCCTCAGCAGCCTGAGGTAGCAGCAAAACTAAGGGATGGTTCAGGGTCACCTGATCTAACTGTAAACTTTATCAAAAAGCCTAATCTTAAAAGCAGAGGGGGTGACTGTGTTCTGAACCCAAACCAGAGTGTAATATGCCAGGATTGTGTCTTTGAGATATTTGATAGAATATAATATTTAATAAGTAACTGTTTAAAATGTCTGTTTTCTCTATTTTTACCCACTTGTTTGTCTCTTTTTCATGCAGCAGGCTCTTCCAGACGACAGCTACACCACCGAGGATCACAACATCTTCACGGTTGCTGGGCAGACGTGTATCGAGGAGGGAAACAGCGCGCAGGTCCTCAGTATTGTGCTGGATGAAAAGAATCAGGTAACGTTTCTCAAAGTTGACACCAATCGCTGCTTCTCAGGTTTGTCACACACTCATCTGTGTAACTGTCTTCATCTGTGCAGGAGATTGTGAGATGCATGGGTTGGAACCTGCTGCCTCCGCTGATCCAGGTCCTGCTGAAGAAAGAAGACAAGAATCTTCCTCAGTGTCTGACCATTTTTAACCACCTGCTGGAGGTCAGTGGTCAGGAGTGGACTTAAGATAAAACATCACTGATGAAAACTGGATGAATGTGGCATTGTAAGGGTGATCTTTGTGGTTGTTTTTGCAGACGTGCAGACCGAAAGAGCTGCTGATCGGCCTGTTGGAGCAGCTGGAGCAGGATGATCCTGATACAATAGCAGAGAGTCTCCATCTGCTCTTGAAGCCTTTACAGAAAGGTAAAGAATCTTTTTAGTCATCTTTTAGTCATCATGCTACTCTTCTTACTGGTTTTCTTCTTGTCTTACATACAGTCAGCTCCATAAATATTGGGACATCGACACAATTCTAACATTTTTGGCTCTATACACCACCACTATGGATTCCAAATGAAACGAATAAGATGTGCTTTAACTGCAGACTCTCAGCTCTCATTTGAGGGTATTTACATCCAAATCAGGTGAACAGTGTAGGAATTACCACAGTTTGCATAAGTGCCTCCCACTTGTTAAGGGACCAAAAGTAATGGGACAATTGGCTTCTCAGCTGTTCCATGGCCAGGTGTGTGTTATTCCCTCATTATCCCAATTACAATGAGCAGATAAAAGCTCCAGAGTTCCTTTCAAGTGTGCTATTTGCCTTTGCAACCTGTTGCTCTCAACTGCCAAGAAGAGATCCAAAGAGCTGTCGCTATCAGTGAAGCAAGCCATCATTAGGCTGAAAAAAACAAAACAAACCCATCGGAGAGATAGCAAAAACATTAGGCGTGGCCAAAAAAACTGTTTGGAACATTCTCAAAAAGAAGGAACGCACCGGTGAGCTCAGCAACACCAAAAGACCCGGTGTTCTGGGAATCCATCCTACCTACAAACCATCCTACCCGTTGTTTTTGCGCATGCGCACAACACGAAATGAAGTGCCAAACCATCCTACCTTTTTGAATGTGACCTACAAGCATACTTTAACAGCTAAAATTTAGTGGCAAATTGTCCTACCTTTGTTAATCTGAGCTAGAAGCATACTTTAACGGCTAAAATGAAGTGGCAAATCATTTTTCCTTTATTAATAAGAGCTAGAGGCATACTCTGACAGGTAAAATGAAGTGGCAAGCCGTCCTGGCTTTATAATTATGAGCTAGAAACATACTCTGATGGGCAAAGGTAAGTGGCAAACCGTCATACCCACTTAAATTTGTGCTGGAATTACTCTGTGACAGCAGAAATGTGGATAAACTACTTACGGTAGGACGTTTTGCCAAAGTAGGATGCTTTGTCAGAACACCGGAAGACGGAAAACAACTATAGTGGATGACCGAAGGATCCTTTCCCTGGTGAAGAAAACACCCTTCACAACAGTTGGCCAGATCAAGAACACTCTCAAAGTCAAAAATCAAGAGAAGACTCCACCAGTGTGAATACAGAGGGTTCACCGCAAGATGTAAACCAATGGTGAGCCCCAAAAACGTGAAGGCCAGATTAGAGTTTGCCAAACGACATCTAAAAAAAAGCCTTCACACTTCTGGAACAACATCCTATGGATAGATGAGACCGAGATCAATTTGTACCAGAGTTATGGGAAGAGAGGAGTATGGAGAAGGAAAGGAAGTGCTCATGATCCTAAGCATACCACCTCATCTGTGAAGCATGGTGCTGCAAGTGTCATGGCATGGGCATGTATGGCTGCCAGTGGAGCTGGTTCTCTTGTATTTATTGATGATGTGACTGCTGACAAAAGCAGTACAATGAATTCTGAAGTGTTTCGGGCAGTATTATCTGCTCATATATTCACCCAAGTGATTCAGAACTCATTAGACGGCGCTTCACAGTGCAGATGGACAATGACCCAAAGCATACTGCAAAAGCAGAGTTTTTTGAAGGGAAAGAAGTGGACTGTTTTGCAATGGCCAAGTCAATCACCTGACCTGAATCCGACTGAGCATGCATTTCACTTGCCGAAGACAAAACTGAAGGGAAAATGCCCCAAGAACAAGCAGGAACTGAAGACGGTTGCATTAGAGGCCTGGCAGAGCATCACCAGGGATGAAACCCAGCGTCTGGTGATGTCTATGTGTTCCAGGCTTCAGGCTGTGATTGACTGGAAAGGATTTGCAACCAAGTATTAAAAAGTGAAAGTTTGATTTATGGTTCTTATCCTGTCCCCTTACTTTTAGTCCATTAACAAGTGGGAGGCACTTATGCAAACTGTTGTAATTTCTACACCGTTCACCTGATTTGGATTTAAATACCCTCAAATAAAAGCTGACAGTCTGCATTTAACTCATTCACTGCCAGCCATTGGCAGTGAATGAGTTAAACCCATTGACTCATTCACTGCCATTGACGGCTATAGACGTCAATGGCAGTGAATGAGTTAAAGCACATCTTGTTTGTTTCATTTGGAATCCATTATGGTGGTGTATAGAGCCAAAAATGTTAGAATTGTGTCCATGTCCCAATATTTATGGAGCTGACTGTATATGTTGCATATTGCTGTTTGGGTGCTTTTTCTTGCTATTATTATTGTGATGTATTCTCTTTTTCTCGCCTCGAACAGTGCTCGTGCGCCTGGGCGGCCGTAAGGCGTCATCCTTGGGCATGGCGCTGTCGTCCGTGCTGGACCAGGTGGCCAAACTGCCTCTCCCTCACACCAAGGAGCAAGAGGAGGATGACGTCTTTTCGTTTTGCCGGTGCTGCACTGACATGATAGATTTCGTCAGACCTTTTGTTCAAGAAGTCAGGCATAACCTGCTGAATAATGAGATGCAGAGCGAGACTGCAAACAGGACTGTGGGCAGACAGGGGAAGGATAAAGAGGATGAGCTGCGGACAGAACTTCTGAAGTTGTGAGTGGAAAAAAAAAAAGCGTTTTTCAGCTCAGACTCACGTTTGATAGTCCGACATAATGTCATAGAAAAGCGCTGCAGGGTTCTTGAAAACTGATGATGCTGAGGCTTCCTTTTTGTTTGTCTCCTCTTGAGCTGTATGAAGAGTCTGAGTCATCCTCTGTTGGAAGTACACCTCAAGGATCCTGACACGCTGGCTCTGTCCCCCCTCAGGACTTTTGCCACCGAGATTTTGGTAAACCCATTTTTTTCAAACGTGTAAATGGTGTCATTGCTGGTTTCTAATATGTCATCGGTTCGTCACGTACTTGCATATCGTGGTAATCGTGGTTTTCTGTGTCCTGCAGAACATCCTCGGTTCTATCGGGGAGTCCCTCAGCAGTCTCGTGCACCAGCCTCTTTTGAAGAGAAAGCAGGTTCCCGGCTTTCTCGAGGAGGAGGTGCGTTATCCTAAAGAGTCTTTGGCCAGCTTGGCTCATCTGGTGTTTGTCCATCACCTGGCTGCAGACACCTTCCCCACTGTTTTCAGGTATTTTGAAAACATATTTTTCTCCTGGGATGCACAATGTGGGATTATTCACACTTGGCTTGAAATGAATCTGTACTTGGGTGTTTCAGTAGTTCTACATTAACAAATACTGAAACATTTAAATAATGTTAATGCTCCCAACACTCTGTATTCTCTCTGCAGTCCCGTGTTCAGTCTTCGATGTAACATCGAGCACGTCTCTGTCCTCCTGTCCAGGTAACATGACATAATAATGTGTCGTGTTATAATCTTTGTTAGCGTTTTACAAAAGCTGTAAAATATGAATATGCACATTATACACACATATATAACACACACATATACCATAAGTGTCCACTTCAATTATCAACCTGTAATCAGTGATATCTATCTTTTATAGAACTGAGGAGTCCAAGCTTCAGAAAGGACTGGTAGGTGACATTTTTACTTATTTATTAGTTATTTATTACATAAATTATAATGACCTTAATCATCCAGGAGTCAATACGTGACTCCTGGATTTAATCCTATATATTTCCATGGTGCTATTTTAATTAAACACAACATGTTTAAAAGCTTATGAAAAGCTTTTCTTATGGTTTGATATGTACGGTCATCATCTTGGATGCTTATATTCAACATGGCCAAGTTTTCAAATAATGAGGTTAGCATTTGGAGAGGCTTTAGACTCTAAAACTTGAGGTTCCCCACATTTTTTCTTATAATAGCCAATCAGAAGAAGCCAAAGAAGAAAAAGAATGAGGCTGTAAGGGTCGTTACCTGCCAGTGTAAATGGTCACTGTGTTACTTAAATCTTCTTCTGCACATTAAAAGCAGTCATCAGTGTATGATGGATGTGCATCACACAGGAGCTGTATGAGAAAAGTCTGGTGCGAGTCGAGGACGGCAGTCTGCGTGCCGACCTGCTGGAGATTAAAACCTTCCTCACAGTCCCTCAGGTGAATGCAGTCGCTTCATTATAGACCTGTTGGGTCTACTGTTGTGTTTTGTGTGCGTCATATAATGTTATTAATGTCAGTGTTTAATTTCAGAACTTAATAAAGGTCATGACGATATGTCCAAAGCATGAACTGGTAAGTTTTTAATCAATTTTGATGTGTTTAAAATCTAATGTCAGATCATTTGGTTTGAAATCGGCTTTCATTTGTGTCACCTTCATCTCGTTTTTGGTACCTAGAATGAAACTTATCTTGGGACTCAATTTTGACGATACTTCTTTTTGTCTTCAGAGAACTAAAGGACTGAAGGTTTTCCAGCTGAGCATTGATAAGTTCAACACTGAAGCCAAGTACAGATTCTTCCAGTGAGCTCCACCTTTCTTCCCTGAAAATTAATCAGAAATGTGTCTTTTCCACTTCCCACTGCAAGCGACCTGTGTCCTTGTTTCAGGTACATGTTGAAGACGAGTAACCACTCAGGAGTTGAAGGCTACATCATTAAAAATATCAAGAATCAGATAGACATTGCCCTGCAGGTGAAGATGTACATTAAAGGAAAAAATGGCAGTGTGGGCCATGTTTAAAATTTCTTGGGGGACCTAAAAGAATCTTTATCGCTCTGTCTCCAGCCAGGTAACAGTAACGTCTGGTTTGAAGGCATTCAGCTCATGCCTCTGCTGCGTAAGGTTCTTATTCTTCCAGATGGCCCAGAGACTGACCTCCTGCAGTACCTGGACAGGTCTGTGCACACACACTAATGCGGGTCACAGGAGTGTGACAGCCAGCCCCAACACACACTGTTAAAAAGGATCATACACAGTTTAAAAGAAAGTATTACATTGTTTAATTTTGTTTCTTCCTGAGAAAATATGAGATGTTTAAATTTAATTGGACACTTCTGTGTAATCAAGAGGAATTTTATAAGTCTTTTTCTCTATAAGATTTTAAAAAACAAACATCCTTTGGTGCTTTTTATATTAAATTGTGCAATAAGTATAAACAAAGTAGTATTGCTGTTGATTTTATAGTTTTTAAAAAAGGCCAGTAAAATATACTCACTGGTCACTTATTAAATGCACTTAAGTTGCTGCCATGTGATTGACTGATTAGATATTTGAATTAATGAGCAGTTGAATCGGTGTGGCAGGTTGAGTGTACGTGTCGCCCTGATCAGAAGTCATTATTTAACAACAAAATCTCGGACTTTATGGACGAGAGTAGTTGAAAGTTTTGGAAATGACTGGAAGGTAGATTAAGAAATAGCGCATGTGTGTGTTGATCTCTACAGAGTCATGGAGTCTCTAAATCTGCTGCGTTACCTGGTCATCAGAGACAAAGTGACAGAGAACCAGGTGAGTGCACTGTTGAGCTGAAAACACCAAAAATTACATTTTAAAACAAGCTGTTCACCTTCATGATGGCCTATAAGGGTATATAAGCTTTCTCTATCTGTGCTTTCTGATGCTGCTGAAGACCGGCATCTGGACAGAACTGTATAAAGTAGAAGATATGTTCATGAAGCCTCTTCGTGTTGGTGTGAACATGTCCAGGGCCCACTATGAAAGAGAGCTGCAGAACACAATGGAGGCCAAGAAGAGCAAGGCTAAAGGTCAGATCAGCGACACTTACTTTAATTTCCAGTTTTTTAGTACAACATAGAGACTCTATGCATGCACAGCAGGGCTTCTATTTTGTAGGTAGCTTGGCTTCATTTTTCTCAGGCTTCTCAAACGACTTCTTAATGGCACTTTTCAACATGTAGCATCATCAAAAGTGTTCAGAGGAGGCTTTCTGACAGCATTTGTTTCTTCACAGAAGAGTCTGTACTTTCTGTGTCTGTTGGTGGTGAGGAGCTGCCCAGCATGACACCAGAGTCACAGATTCAGGTGAGTAACACAGTCAGATATCAGATCACGTATTTATGCGTGTGGGGATTAAGAAAGCACTGTGATGTTCCTGACTGCATTTTCATTGGTCCTGCCAGGCTCTGCACTCTGCCCTGCACACGTTTGACATGATTGAGAGCGTGTTGGCACGGATAGAGGAACTCATCGAGGTGAAGGACAACCTGTAACCACACAAGCTCATCATCTCAAACAGAAAACTGTTACTTGTTTCAAAACAAAGTGCTAGTGCACTGCTGGTCTCTTTGTTTTACAGTGTAATTATAAAATGTTGCATACATTGTCAATTAGAAGTTTAAAAAAAAAAAAAAAGGCAAGTTTGTATCAGCTCGGTAATAAACTTTCAAACTTTTGTACTTGCAGGTCAAATCAAGTGTTTTCATTTTTGGTGAAAGTGTAAAAAAGTTGTGGTTTGGTAAAAAAAAATTTGTAACCTTTGGAAGCTTCAGTTTCTCCTGCCGTCACAAAAATATCTCAAGTTCATGCAGCCTGTGTTGCCCAGAACACTCTAGCACAAAGAGATGCTATAGGTTATAAAGGTAAAAACAAAAAAAGACTCAGAAAAGTAGCTCACAAAACGATACATAAGTTTACAAAGTGCAAAAGGGTAAACAAACTTAAAGTAATGAAATGTATCCCATGTAACAGAATTGTTTAAAATTAAGTCTATAGAATTTAGATTTAAGCAGTGATTCAAAGGAAGTCTGGCTCTGTGTGCTCGATCTTCTCAGGTAGGTCATTCCAGATGTGAGGGGGCCTGAAAAAGCAAAATCACCTACAGATTTAAATTCTTGCCTTTAGCACAGCCTGAAGGGTCCAACCCGAGGCTGTGAGCAGGCACACGTGGGGTCAGAGGTTCTGCTACGTACATCGAGGCCACAGGCGCGTTTTGACGAGAGAGCGCAACTTTTCATTAATGCCAGAGAAGAGAGCAGCAATAGTCCAATCTTGAGAAAATAATTCCTTTCATTCATTCAACCATTTTTAAAAAACTTTGCAAAATTTGGTGATATTAGCAATTCATAAGCAAGTTATTTCACTACAACCTATATTTTTACCCCAGGTTACTACAAAAAATAAATAAATGCTGAACTGTTTTCTTGGGTCCAGGTAACAAAAAGTGGAAAATAAATTCCTTCTAAATGAATATAACCATGTAACCTGAATGAGAGACGTCATTTTGTTTTTGCCTTTATTATTAACCTGAACTGGGAAAAACTGACACTTCAGTGTTTTCCATAAATAAACCAAACTCAGACATGCACACACTAATGAAGCAGAATTTCACACATTCACAGGATACAGATATGCACCTTCAAATTAAAAGCCTTTATGGCAGTGATAACTGTAAACAAAATATGGATTATTCCCTCTTTAAAAGGTCAAGAGTTATAGCAATATCTGCAATGTTTCCACCATTTTAAAATGCCCTTCTTCACAGTTCTTTAGACTATATCATAGCTGCTGTGAATATAAGAAATCTTTACTTTACTGTCAACCACGAAGCCGAAGGGGGGAAAACTGCAGCACATTACAAGGAGTGAACGTTTTCTCTCATGCTCACGTGCCTTTTCTGCACCTGAACCACAGCCTAGGACATCATAGTTTTACTGGTTCCTGGTGCTCTCACAGCACAGTCTCACAGGTCTTTGAACAGCGGGTGTTGAAGAGCCTGAGCAGCTGTGATCCTGGTGGAAGGGTTCAGATCCAGCAGCTTATCCAGCAGGTCGTAAGCCTCATCGGGAACTCTGTCCCAGCCACGCTCATCCTCCTCCTCTCCCATCTTTTCCTGTTTTGGAAGGCGAGTTGCGGTGTCATTACCACCTGAATGTTTGTGCTTGTTCGTGTGACTACACAAGAGTTCTGCAGGAGTTTCATCTGCTTCCTTTTTGTGTGGTTTGAGTGTTCTTTCAGTGGGACGGTGTGTGGGCGTATCATCTTGGATCTTGTGATGATGAGTGTCAGTGGAATCTGCCGTAGCCTCAGGAAGTGGTGTGACTTTGTTATCTGGCGATGGCCTAAATCCTCTGAGCGTCTCACACAGGGTCCTGAGGTCCTGTCGAGGGAGCTCCCGACTGCACACCACCGCTTTACCTGAATCAGATTCAAGCCCATAAAAATAAGATCACTCTGTACAGAGGTTTTTTACAACCCTGTTTCTGAAAATGTGACGCTAAAATGTAAATGAAAATGGAACACAGTGATTTGTGAATCTTTTTCTTCCCATCTCAGGACCTAATAAAAACAATAATTCTATACTGTGTGAAATATATTTTTAAAAATAGTCGAGCTAAAAAGGTCATCCTAGATTCTCAGTCTTTCTGAGGTATGGAGATTATCCAGAACATCTCTGAAATGTTTTGGAACATCTGCATACGTCTTTTTCAGGGAAGGTCCTGCTGAACCTCTTTTAGGATTCATTTCAGCAGCACGGCTCCAGGTGTTAAACTAAGATGTTTGCAGGCCAGAGCTGTCACCCCCTGAATGCATTTGGAGCATCATGAAATCAAAAATACAACAAAGGAAGCCATGAATTCTTAAATCCTAAATCACGTGAGAGAAGGAAAGCATTTCACTGCACCCCCTGGTCTGATCAGGTTACAGAGTTTGCTACAAGACCTTTGCAGAAACATGGAGCTGGCATCAAATTTAAAACAACACAAAAAGTTTCATGTGTTGTTCTGCACCATTTTCAGTTCACTATACTTGATTTTTTTTTTCCCCATATTTATATTTATGCAGTGCATTAACTCTGAAAACTGTGCTGCAGAATATTGTTCCACTGCAGAATTATAGTGACTCTATTGGTGATGAACTGCCTGCAGGATTAATCACTGCAGTCTTGCAGGTGCAGTGAGGATCTGCGTTCTGCAGAAGACCCAGAAGAAGAAATTTATACGCACCGAACGACTTGGCAGCCTTGATGGTCTCTCTGGAGCCTCGTAGGGTCATGATCTGAACGAGCGCAATCATGTCATCGGTGGCCTTAAAGAACGGGTAACGGCCACTGAGCAGTGACAGCAGGATCACACCAGCTGACCACACGTCTATGGCTGCAGTGCAGGGTGACAGGACAGGGGAGTGTGCAAGAGTGCAGATTAGTAAGAATAAAAAAGAGAACATCCCAAATTTGCTATTTTTAGGCAATTTTTGGAAAACCTGCCTGGCTCATATGACAGGAAATGTTACCAAGCATGAGAAAACAGATTTTGTTTTTTTAATACTAGAGAGCATCTCTGAGCATGCAGCACCTTAAATCACGTTCAACAAACCACATCAAAGCAGATGGGCTAAAGCAGCAGTGTGGTAGATACATATATTTATTTTCTTTGCTTTTAAACATGTATTATAAATAATGACTTGAGACACCCACCCGTGCCTTGGTTGGGACACTTTGTGAGGACTTCTGGTGCTCTAAACCCTGGAGTTCCTGCCCGGGGCGCCACCTGCGACTTTCTGCAGTCACAAACAAGGACAGGAACGAGGTATTAGAAGTGACACAAAACAGAAACTAAAAATTCTTCGTTTAGTGGAAGTGGATTGGAACGAGAATTTAGTTTTAATAATAAATAATTTTTGTTCTTGTACAGCTGACACAAGCACCATTAAATCATATTTCATATAAATGAAAGAAATCATATAAATGTTTCACTGTCTAGAATAATGCCCAAAACATGTGCAAGGTAAACAGGAGGTGCAGGAGGATGTTTTGTTAGTTACCTGGACAAGCAGACGTTGCAGACCCGATCAGTGAAGTAGCAGTTACAGGTTAGACCTCGCTGTACGGGTCTCTGACTGCTGCTCTGGGTCCTGACAGGCAGGGTGGCTGAAGAGTACTTACGGCTGGCTGCGTCCTCTGTTTTACTTGGTTTTACCAGCTAAAGAGTAATGATGATTCAATTTTTAATGTCACCTCCAAAACACTCAAGGTCACCTTATATCACTTAATAATAATAATAATAAGACCCAGCAGGAAAAGTTGCAGCAGGGAACACAGTGTAGCTCAGTATGGGGTTTGATAGCACCTAATGCTATCAAACTGAATAAGCTTATATAAAAAAGTAATTTTATTTCTGTTAAGCAGTCCTACATGTGAACCTGAGAGACAAGAGTTGCAGAGCTTCGTCACAGCATAAGAGAAGCCTCTAAAAACCCATCTTGTCCATGCTGATGAAAGCTAATGACAGTAAATCTGTTGATGAGCCACAGGGAGTGGGAGGGAATGAAAGTCTGGAGGTCAGCGACATATGCAGCGCAAAGACTACAAAAAGCTTTCAGTGTTAATATTTTAAAGGTAATTAGTTGCAGTACAGGGAGGAAAAATAGCAAGGTTTAGGATTAGGATGGCTGTGTCATGTTCAGTGTGAACTGCATAACTGTAGATGAGCTGAATATGTTTTTTGGTGATGCACACCATGCTGAGCTATTGAAAGCTTTCAGCCAATAGCTCTTTCGGAATCACCCTGGTGGTGCAAATATACCATTTATGTCTCTCATAATGCGCTATTGTCGTTATCGTTTTCTTCCATCACTTCATAGTAAAACAATTTATTTTTGTAACAGGCTACAATTTAAATGTTTTTCTTTGCTAAATTGTTTTTTATGTGTAGACAAAACACTGGTTCATCCCTTTAGTTTAGTCCCTTTTCTATGCTTGGATCAAAGGTCAGTGTTGAGTGGATTAACAAACAAAAAAATGTTCCTCTTAAAATGCTTGGGTCCGGCCAATGTCCAAAGAAAAACTTTTCTTGCAAGAAAATCTAAAGATATGAGCAGCAGCTCAAGACTTTTGCACAGTACTGTAGTTTTCCCCCATTGCTTACCTCTGTCCTAATGGCAGCGTGTTTGGTGTTGGAGAGAGCTGGTGTGCAGCTGTTCAGGTCCCTCTCTCCAAACACAGTCCGTGGTGCTTTGCGTAGCTCTATCAAATCCTAAAGAAAACCAACATGGACGATGACATAAGCAAAACATAAACAATGATGTTATAAACATCCAACCATAACCATACTTCAGTCTTGTGCAACACAGTGAAGTGTAATTAGAGTAAATTTTATCACTGGACAGAAACACCTAATGAAGATAAAAATGATGGTAAATAAAATAAGTGCAGACACCTTTGTGTGCTTTGTGCGAGAGGTGGTCACAGTGGTGGTAGCAGAATGTGCTTTTTTAATCAGTGCTTTTCGAGAGGTTGAAGAAGCTGTGGTGGTGGAGGAAGATGCGGAGGAATTTGTTGGGTGTATTTGCTGCCGTGCAGGCAGTGGAAGAGAGGTGGAGACTGTTGTGGTTTTTGAAGAGAGTTTAGGTGGTGCTTTGCTCCGCTGTGCAGCCACTTGTTTCCCTGTGGACCCTCCACCTTTCTGTGATGGTCTCTTTCTCACCACCTTCAATAGCTCAATCTGGGTGTCAGCTGTACCCTGTGCCAGGCCGAAATCCACCAGTGCGTACCTGTGCATACAGTTACACAAAAAAACAAAACACAAAAGCCAAAATGTAATAAAGTGTATGTGGAATTTATTAGTGTAATTTACTTTTTAACATACATTCTAATCTTATAGCTGAGTGATGCTCCAGCACTGTATCAATATAGACAACACATAGCATCAGAACATGAGCACTACATCAGAATATTAGCATTAGAATTGACAACAGATAAAACATTACAAATGTTCTGCAGCTACTTACATTTTGCTCTTTCTGTTGTAGAGGAAATTGTTTGGTTTGATGTCTCGATGAATTATGCCAAACTGGTGGATGTGTTTCAGAGCCTTTAACAGGTGGTAGATGTACAGGCGGACCTCTTCAAAAGTTAGCAACCCAATGATGTCCTGGTGAATATGTTTAGTTTCAATCAGAAGTTTTAAAAGACATTTTTAAGCAACGTCAACATAATCAGGAGAAGAGACTGATTTAGAAGCTCAGATTGTGTCCATTAAAAATAAATAAATCACTTCAGTATAAACACTGCATGTCACTGCAGTAACATACGACAAAGTACCTACCACAATGGCTTGATGCTCCATGTAGGGCATTACAATCACCACATGGTCCTCCTTCCTGAAGCAGTATGTCACTCCCATCACATTCTCTCTGCCTCTGCAAAGTGGATTAAGGGCACAGCTCAGAAGACAGGCGTCATTTCATTATAATGTGTTATGTCTGCAAGAAATGTCAATCTCGGACGTTCACTTCCAAGAATCATTACAGAAGCACTCAACCACAAATGCACACTCATTTATATAAATTGGTGTGCTTTATGCTGCACGTCTTGTCAACCCCAGCCAGCAGTGTACCAAACTGCGTAGGTTAAACTGAATCATAAGATGTCACAAATGAGAAACCCACACATCGATTTACCACAGCATAAAAATAAACTTAAAAGCAAGAAATCAAATAAAATTTGGTCTTTTCTGATTTTACATTTTTGGGATACTCGGCTCTTTCACAAACACAGTACCGGTAATACTAAAAGAAAAGTTAGTGTGGAGGTTAATTTGGACTGAGAACCTTCACAGACTTAATTTGGAGGTGTGCTACCAATTCCACATGGAATTATAGGAAAATTAAATAATAATCAAATTGAATCCCCGCATTATCTGTCAAATAATAAAAACATACACTCACCAGCCACTTTATTAGGCACACCTACTTACTCTGCTCTTTATTGAAAATATCTAATCAGCCAATATCATATCAGCAACTCAATGCATTAGGCATGTAAGAAATGCCAAATATGAAAGTGCAACTCAAAGGAACTCTATAATTTAACCAGGTCCAGGTCTTTAAGAAGGATTAGTGACAGTGTATAGTGTTACAGTAACACAAACTAACTAAATAAATAGATGTTGATAGAAAAAACATCAGTGTAATGTCAATAAAATTCTAAGTTACTTCATTGGACTCACCCTGCAACAGTGAGACACTGAAGCTCAGCAGCAATCCGTGTGGGATGGCTTGTTGGGATTAGATGCTTCAGTGCAAACATCTCTCTCCTCCCATCTCGCATCTGCGTCTCACCCAAGTATACTGAGCTGAACGTACCTAATGAAGACGCACAAATGTCATCAGCACTACTCCTTATGAGGTTAGTGAACGGCTAACAATCCTTCTCCCAGCTGTATAAAAACTCCAAAACTGACTACATACCTGCTCCAATTTTGTCTATAATGCGGAAAACTTTGGCTAGCTGAGGAACAGCTTTGTAAAGAAACTCAATGTCCATCTCCACGTCCGCTGGAAACAAACAAGACAAAAAAAATCAACTGTCAGAACACCATTACTAGTGTGGTGTATATGGTCAACACATAGAAAGTAATAGGAATGGGAAGGGAGAGAGATAGAGTATCGATACAGCTGTATAAGCCCGGCTTAATCTCAGGGTGGTGGGTTTGAGCACTGCGTTGGGCGTTCGCATTGAGGGCAGGGATAGCTCAGTAGGTAGAGGCCCCATGATCGGAAGGTCGAGGGTTCAAATCCACTGAACGGCTACCCTGAGGTACCCCTGAGCAAGATACCGTCCCTACGCTGCTCCCCGGGCGCCCACTGCTTCACTGAGTGAATGTGTTAAATGCAGACGGAGATCAATAACTGTGACACAATTTGGAGTTAAAGAAAAATACTGGCGGCCACACTGCTACCCCTCAGCCTTCTAGTAGATGCACTTATGGTATTATTTAAAAAAATCCTACAATCTTAAATTAAGTTTAAAAAGAACAAAGAAAGCAAAATAAATATAAAAAATATGATGTGATTGCCTTAAAAATAAATTCTGCCCAGAGTGAGGTTATTAATACTGTGTGCAAACCCTAAGCTACAGTGACAAACTATAGCTGAGCACACAGATTTTAATTGTATATCAGCTATAATATAATAATGTAGTTCCAACATAAGGATGCATTTCTACTGAAATATTTCTGTCATATCACAGTTGTCCAACTCACGGGAGATTTTCCGTTTCTTGTGACCTCTGTCAGCTTTCATAAGGCATCCGTCTGTGCTGGGCTCAACGCAGGCAGGAGAAAACTCCATCTGAAAACCAGAAAACAGGAACATCGTTAGAGACACTTACAGATGGAGCAAACACTCGTGATTTAAGTTTGGTAAACACTTTATTTAAAATATTCTGTAGCTGTACAAGTCCTCGTTACTGTAAATGTCTGCAGTTATAGTTTTTTGAAGAGCGCGGTCCGACTTCCTAGATACCACTAGCATATTGTTAGCTCGCTAACTGCGGCTGCTAGAGCAAAAACACAAAGAAACTTACCGCTTGGGGTTGGTTGTAAAGTCCAAAAGTGTCTCAAATTAACGCCTCATAAAGTCACCATACAGCCCCGACCAACATCTCTACAGGTAAAGCATCAATTATAGGTTTATATTCCGCTCTGGCGGTGGCTGAAGAACTTTGTACAGACTTTCGGATTGAAGCGTCTCCGCCAACAACAAACTCCGCGCTAAAAGTGACGTCAACGAAATCTCGCGGTACAGCAGCAGAAATCACGTGACGCTCCAAGCACACGGACGAGAACGATTTAATTACAGTTGTGATGTATCGCTGCATGACTTATTTAAAACTAAAACTGCTGCCTGTGAATTACACGTTACACAGCCAAATAACAGTTTAGTGTTTTCTGTTTATTTTCCTTGTTACTCCGTTATGAGTTGTTGCCTCATAAGAATGGCTGTTGACAATTTTGACCAAATTTAAAAAGACTAAAACTAATAACATTTCCTGTATATTTTAGGAGCCCATTCAACACTGATTTTTGATTAAAAATATAATATTCAATTGAAATAGTCGAATATTCTTTTTCCCTTTCAAACACAAAAAACAGATGTAGAGCGCCCTCTGGTGGACAAATTGTGCCTCATCAAAACTTGGTTAACATGGTTGAAGGATGTTTCTCACATCACTTTACTTTTTTCCATTTATCAGCAGTTATAAATGCAGAAATCAACAGGTTGTGAAATAGTTCATATTTTACAATAATATCGTCCCACAGATAAATCTAATGCATAATTTCAGTTCTTGTTTTTCTTGTTCATGTCTGGTTATTTTCACTTCGGTTAGCAAACGTGTTTTTAACACCTCCTATAGGTTTATCATATAGCTGTGGTTATATTTTTAATAACAACTTGGATATATAGTACTGTGCAAAAGTCTTGAGTCCTCATTTCTTGCTTTTACTTTGTTTTCAAGGAGACAGAATTCCTTATACTTTTTCTCTCCAGGTTTTCAAAACCTCATTGGACATTTTTCTTAGGAGGCTGCTTTTTTAAAATCATTTTCAGTCTTTTCAATGTACCTGACCATGTTTAGTGAAATTAATTATTTTGTTTGTTAAGCCACCTAAAACAGAACTATAACTAAGCATAAAAAAGTCATCATCATCTAACACAAGGTATAAACAGCCAACTTAGTGAAGAACCAGTTTTGAATTGTATCTTTAGGTACTTTGTTACTAGTATGCTCATTACTTTCACAACAGCTAGTTGAATCTACAAAAAAAAAAATCTAAAAATAACAGTAAAATACTATTTTTGCACCACCATGCAACAAGATTTATATGTAGACATATGAACGTATTCCTTTGCATTAAGTTGAAATTAATACTTTCACTGGAGTATGCAACAACTTGAATGGCAGTCTTTGAATACACACCTATGACACTAGACAGTTGTCACAAAACTACTTGTAATTAGTCTACAATTGAGTTCACACATTGAGAAATTACCCAAAGACTCCACTGAATCCTCCGGTGAACGCAGGCTTTATTAAGTAAACAGCACACATAAATACAATCACATCAAAAAACCCTTTTGAACTTGTTTCATTTACAATACAAAATAAGAATGAACAATGCAACAATATATAACTCCAGGTGAAAATCTCACAGGAAACAGAAAGAACCTTACATTAGGAACATGTTTATGTCAGAGTGTGTCCACCAGTACTTCTAGAATATTCCATCAAAAATGCCAACAAAAGCATCTTCCTCTTTGCTGCTGGTGTTATATGCAAAAGGGGGAAAAAAAGGAAAAAGGGTATTTATTAATCCTGTAAGGAAGTATGCTTATCCCATATCCCCTGCATATAGGATCACTTTTTTTATTTGCTGCATGCAATAGGTGTGAATCAAGGCCACTTTTTTACCTTCTATTGAGAGATGAGCTGGCGTTGGGTGGGGCACTCAATGCTGAAAAGAAATCCAATCTCCTAGTCACTTTTGCCTCCTCAGGCTGTTTTAGAAGTTCTAATGATGTTTTTATAGTGGTTTCATCACTGAAAATATTTGGCCTCTGCACAACAAAAAGAAATAGAGCCATGATTCATGTCTGCACATTAGCTTGACTGCTGGCTGTTACATTTGAGAAAGGTGAGGTTAGAACCATTAACTGAAAAATAGCACAAGTATGAGCTTTACTGTACTAACTGAATAAATAGACAGTTAAATAGATAATAGATAACTAAAAGATGTCAACAGACAGAAAATGGTGTTCTCAGTGTTTTTACATATAACAACTAACTGCACAAATAGACATGTGCACATTCCCGCGTGTGCACATACATGCACTTTTGGATTCCACTTGGGTGTGATCCTCTTCTGTGGTATGAATGTCCGGCTGACTGGTGAGGGTCCCGCTTTTTTGATTTCAGGACTGACATTTGTTGAAGTCAACCTGAAATAATCATGAAAAACATTTATTACACATGTATTGTTATTAAACAGTCCAACCATCTTCCATGCTCCTTGTTTCTCATGACAATGCGACAAATGAGAAGAATAGACACTTTTTGCATGTGATATCAAGTTGTCATTGTAAATCGTGTAAAAACTATAAACTTTGACACTTGTATTTTACTTTAGATTTAATCTACACTATTACGATTTTTAATCGACTAAAACTAAAAGAATAGAAAAGAGAGGGCGGCTGTCTCCTGAATCCAAACTGGGAGCTGTTTCCAACGGAAGGGAACATGAAAGCTTTTACTTTTAGAAAATCCAGGATCAACAACTGGAGTCTGCAAATATGACAAATTTTCTAATGGTTTCTAATGGTTACTATCTCACTACACATACAGTATGTCACACAGTTTCTGGTTCCTGGCTTCCTGGTTATACCTTACTTGTTGGTTAATGGTGCATAAGGTTGTGGTCTTACCTCAGTGGTGTAGTCACAGCGGTTATAGAAGGTTTGATGTGTGAGTGGCTGAGTAATACTGGTGCTGAAGCTGTAACATAGCCTACATAAAGACATATGTATAGTGTTAATTAAACCATAAGAACATCTGATGTATAATCCCACATGGGCATGTGTGCTTAAGGGTATCCAGTGATATTAAAACATCACGGTGTTCATGTCACAATGAAGTCCTAATGACTGAAATGTGTGAGAAGCTGATTTTCAGTTCACTCTACCTGGTGTGCGGTTTTCACCACACTGCTGAATTTGAGGTTGTGCAGTTGTGTATGAAGTCAGTGCTGGCTCGCTGGCATGGATCAGATTATCATCATCAAAATCGCCCCAGTCATCCCACTCGTTTCCAAGGTCAAAGTTGACAGTCGGTATCTGGAGGGATGAAGTATTTTTGCAGAGAGCAGCCTGTTCTGGCAGTGCGGTGGAGCTCTTTGAGTGACCCGTGCTGGTTATATTGACCTGGTTTAGATCCTGTTGAGAGTCCTGACTCCCAACACTCATATCTGTGGTCATCCACACCGAGGAACCTCAACACAAAGGAAGATAAAAGCATGGTCACATCATCAAATCCTTCTCAACTGTGTGCATTTATAAATTCAACTTGAAAAATAATATCTATCTAATATCTTTTTAGATTCTTCCATCTCCCACGCAGCTATTGATTTCAAAGCTGACCGTGGTTGGGTGATACTCGTTAAGTCTACCATTTAATCTTGTGTATGCTGAATAAACCTGTTCCTGAGTATGTCTGACTTAATTAATATGTTTTATTTTGTTACTACAGTCCATATAACAATTGTCTGCACTTGGACCTCCTCTGAGCAGAACTTAAAGCTGAGCAGAACAAAAACATGTGAACCAACAGGATGGTCCGTCTGCCACTGAGTTTGAAGTTATTTAACAATACTTTGATGGTGAGGATGAGCTGCAGCAGCGTTTTGGGAAGGCCCTCCCATCGTTGTGTACATGTCCTCCACATAATAGTCATCATAATCTCAAAAAATAAAAAGAAAGAAAACAGCTGATGATATAACATATCAATGATATATGATATAACACGTGACACAAAGAAGATATGATAGGAGTGACATTCAAATGTTAAGGAATATGTGGAGCTTAGTCATGTCACTCGTTTACCTCCGTCAAGGTCATTCAGGCTTTCTACGTCAGGTAGTTGAGCTTCACTTGCCAAGTCAGTCCCAGACTGAGGTCTCACTGAAGCTTTACAGAGATTTTCTTTATTCCTTCAGATGGAAAAAAAACCAAGCTTGAAAGTAATGTGAGCCAAGTGCGTCTTTGCTCATGACTGTTGAGAATCTAATGTTCAGCTTTTCTTTTAAGGAAACTATTAACATGTTTGCACATAAGAATCAAGATAAATCTGTAATTTCAGTGTGGCTGTGTGTACCATGAAGGGGGTGGAAGCATCTCTTTGGGTTTGTAAGCAAACCTTTGCATGCTGAGCGACACAGGCTCCTCAGCCATTTTCATCTAAAGAAATAAAACAGAACATCACCCATATTATTAATTAGCTCAGGAATACAGACAACGTGCCCGCCGTGTGCAGAAGACGGTTTTCTTTACAAAAAATATATATATGCCATTTTCTATAATTAGTTATTTTGGTGCAAAATATTACAAAAACCCAAAACAATGCTTATGCCCTCATAGTTATACACAGAGTATATCTGCCTAGGGAACTTTGGACTGAATGAGCTTCGAAATATTTTATATTTTATACTTAATAAAACCATCATAAAGGGTAATTAGCAGCTGCTAATCCAATACAGTTAATTAACTGATCATCAGCAAGTGTGAGCGCCTCTATAAAAGCAAACTTTTTGGCAGTTTACTGGCATGGAGCATTTATGTGTGTGTTAACACAATGCCACAATATTCTCAAATTCACCCCAAGATTAGATCATGCAGTGTTCAGAGAAAGAACAAAAACAGTTCTCAGTTAGCATGTTAAACATTGAAGATCATGGGAGTACAATTACAAAAAAAGACTGAACAAGTACAGTGTGCTTGGAAGGATTTCCAGGAGGAAGCCTCTTCTCTATAAAAAGAACATGGCAGCACAGCTTAGGTATGCAAAATTGTCCCTGAACAAACTACAAGACTTCTAAAACAATGTCCTCTGGACAGACAAGATCAAAGTTTTCCATAGTGCACAGCAACACAATCATCAAGCATATCAGCATAAACACTGTAAACCAACTGTCAAGCATGTTGGTGGAGAAGTGATGATTTGGGTTTGTCTTATAGCCACAAGACTTGGGC